ACTACGTACCGGACACGATTGCTTGGCAAAACATCTTCACCGATTGGGAGTATACACTCAACCCACATGCCCCTATGCGACCTACAGGAGGAAATGGATAAGACCCACCTGATTCGGTGTCCAGCTCTAAAGGCAACGACGAAAAGCCAGAGATACTGGGAAGCAAGAAGGCAGCTAATGAATTGCTTTTAATTAACTGCTATAAATGTACCCCCCCCACACCCATGGGGAAGCTGAAGTAAAAGTTTAAGTGCTAATGATAAATATCATAATCCTGCCATTTGAAATAAACAAATTAATATTTTTGCATTTTAATCGTGAAGTGCCGTCCGTACTCGCAAAACGATAACAAATTCAAGCAGAAATAGAAGCGAAGTGGAGAATTGGGTGGGGGGGGGGTGTCTTTGAAATGCTTATAAAATTAAGTTAGATGACAAGAGTAGCACATTACTTGGATTCTGAAAGCACCGAGTAGTTCATGTTCCCATTGGGAGTAAAATTCTTAAATCAATTTTGATTTCTTCGCTTCTGGTTGAGTCCTCGCGTTCGATTTCCTGACCTTTTTTTGTTATCATTTGTCAATCTTATAATCTAGAAGGACCGATTGAATCTGCCACAATATGATATTTTCCATTTCTTATGTCATACATAATGTTATGGCAAACAGGGTTTTACTTCATCGCGCCACTCGTAGGCTGGGCTTGAAATTAACCTACTAACACATAGGCTGCAGCGAAGTCACCAACCTTAATTTTATGCTAGTTCTCTATACCTGCGGAAGTAAAGTAAACATCGTTGTCTAAGCTATGTAAATGGGTGCTTAAGAACTGCAAGTTATTTAAGCGGAAACGTGAATAGGCGTTAGTTTATTACTCTTGAAGAATAAAGACCAGCACTAACCTAGACGCACTTGAAAACCACTTAAGAATGTCTTGCGTCAGTCGTTACTCTATGACTAACGACCAAAACTTACTATTAGTGGAAAGGCACTGATTGCAATGAACACAAAGTGACTATGGGTCAAAATTGCGGTGAAATTTTAAGTCAGGACTTTAAAATTAATTCAATGAAGTTGGATCTTTGAATTGAGGGTTTATTTTATTTTGGTTTCTTAATTGGGATCAAGTGCTTTGTGTCCTAATTATAGAATGGGATTTTCTTTTTTCTTGACTAAAAACGCTATTGGTTGGTGGTGTTTTTTTTCTACGGGCCAAGAAAAATCTTACTTGAATTTCTTTTCCACATATGATAAGCCATCTATTAAATTTTTTCCTGTTTGAATTCTGGTATGTATTAAACTTTAAGAAACAAAATTGACAAAACAAGTGTTTTTCATTGCTTTCTAAATTATTTATTTATTAGATTTGTTTCCACGTTCCACGTTACTTAAGAAAATAGTTATTTTAACGAAGACATCAATCTGTTTACTATGAATTACACAACCAAGTGAAGAAATTAATCACTTTTAGTAAAATTAGCATAGTTTTTGGTTATTGGAAGGGGTCAAATTTATTACGATTTCATGAACGACCTCCCAAGTGAATCGACGGATAAACAAGTTATGGAGTTTGTGTACACGATCGCACCAAATAATACAAGAATTCAATCCATATCTTTGGAGTTCTGGAAATGGGGCTACAATGTAGTGAACTGTACCAATTTGGATGAATCCAGAATTCAAATTGAAACCAACTTCTGTTGTCTTTAATTTAGATTCAGGCTCTGTTTAATTCCGACTTTGGCTTCCACCCTTATTGAACCGTTTCACGTTGCTCACTATTTTTTTAAAAAATGAGAGTGTAGTAATGATCGCGTCTTTTGCTTTATTAATTTAATTAGAGTAGTTATTGAACTCCAGTGTCCTCCTATTCTGACCTCTGGATCTTATCCCGATTTTATTCTATTTATCTGCAAGAAGTAATCATGCGGATTCTAAATGTCACCAAACGGTATTTTCTACGCATTTTGACATCCATGTATCTTATCAGGCTTTTTAACTCAAGTTAATTTCAATGACTGTTGTGTGTGTGTGAATTTCAATTGAAGGCCTCGTCATTCAAGTGGGAAAGAAAATCAGAACTTGTTTCGTTAAGTTAAAATCATCCGTGCTATGTCAGCAATTAGAAATAAAAGAGTATTTGTTCAATATTACTGACTAACGCTAATAAAAACCTACGTTTTTCATACGCCATTTACTCTGAGCTTGACTTTCATCCGTAATTAGTCGACTTTTTACAAGATTTTGATTTCAATTAAGGGAAAATAAAGTGAATGCAAACTTTTGCCTCAAGTGTCATCCATATTCATCAAATGCTATCTCTGATCGATTGATTAAAGAAAAATCAATAAAATTAACTCTTTGGATGGAGAGGTTGTACCCACAGCTGGAAGTCGTTAAAAAGATGAAAAAACACTTTTTGTCAATATTGCATTTTGGATGGTGTATTGGGCTGTGGAGGACTCAATAAATGATAGTTTTAATCGAATGATTAGAGTTAAGAATAGGGTGTCAACGAGTGAAAATATAAGCCAATAAAAGCATGAATACCTCTGAATGCACATTGATAATTGACGTGAATACGTTTCAACGCGTGAGCTAATCTCATCACGAAATGTCTTAATCTACACAGAATCATTTTAAATTCAAATCCAATTAATTGAATACCCATGTAAGGACGATTTCGACTTGCCAGTTCAGTAATTATTGGAATGTATCAAATAAGTCAATGAATATGGTTAATCGTCCAGGGACCAATTCAGAGACCATGGAAGAGTGAAAACTCGTCACTACTTGTAGACACGTCAGTTTTCATTACTAAGGCCAATTCGAAAGAACAGTCTAGCTAAAGCAAATTTCACTTCCCGCGACTATGGGAGAATCGACTATATATTCATAAACTCCCAACTAACTCCTACTAGCTTATTCGTTTGACGATGGATTTTCTCACAGTACGGAAGAATAAATGTTCACATCCGCTCTTTGTTAACGAAGCACGACTTGTCCAATTGTTATGATTCTCTCTAAGGTCTGAGTCCGCATTTGTGGACATTGATTGTACACTAAAGCATGTCTCCAACCTAAGACGTAAGACTGAGTTCTCACACTCATAAAATACGAGGATTAATGAGTTTGGTTTTGATAATAAACGGTCTGACAGTCCTTTGAGTGTGCCGACTTGCCTAGTTTATTTGGGAGCTAATAAACCCAGACATTGGATAGAGGGCGAGACGGAGAGAAAGATGTGTGGATCGATAGACGCATGCAGCCCAGATTTAGGATTGTTCTATTCGCAAGCGGTTTTTTTCCTTTTAACAAATGACGTAAGCCGCCGACGAACGGACTTGAATGGATAAATACGGAGATTTATTAACTGTGGGAGGCGTGGAAGCGCAGACAGACGCGAGTCTCCTTTTATTGTCGCATACTGATACACCTGCTTTGTTGGGACATTTAAATCTAATTATTTCGTCGGTCTGTTTTGTTTTAAATAACTAGAAATTATAAATAGCCATGTGTTGTAAACTTCAAAGGAGCTGTAGAATTGTTTGCAAGAGGAATAATGAGCATATATCCTGTGGGAAGGCGGAGAAGGAGTTGGAGGTATGCACTCTTTCATCTAATTGCGTGATCTGTGATGTTCGGACGATTTCCATCAATACCAAATCGAGTATTTGACAGACTTATTACGTCCTTCAAAGGAAGGATTATTACGTAGGCGAATTGCAAAGGCCATTTCAGTATGTTCGTTTTCATGTGTAATATGCAGTCTTAAGTGACGCATATCTGCTTTTTGTTCACAACAAGGTCAAACGTCAAAATATTGCCATTTTTCACATGTTCTCCTGTGATATATACGCCAAAATAGAAAGAAAACAGGGCCCATCAATTTGGGCAATGTTTAAAAATAAACTCATTCACTCGGGTTAGCAGAATCGTTCATTTATTAAGACGGCAAAATCTGAGACTAATATCGATTTATCCTTACTTAATTCTTAATAAAATTATTTACTTTGATGAATCCCTATTTTAATTCGATCATTAAGGTTAAATTGCGTAGTTATCCACGAAATCGAAAAAAAATTTTATCCTAAATTTTTTTAAGATAACTAATAAGTACTGTTTCGTCTGAGTCGAAATTTCCAGAAACTGTGTTCTACTTACAATGATTGGATGAATTTTCTCAAACTCATATGCTTGGTTAATTTAATGGAATGGCTAGTAATACCATTTTCTAATGTGCTTAAGAGTCTAATTTTACATGGCTGTATGACCCAAGTTGATACGAAGAAGGAGGTCAAATGGTTAAGTTGAGTTGATCTCATCTCTATTGCGATGTTTCTGGCAAACACGGATCATGGCAGAGTAGATATGAAATGAGTAATTAAAAAAGGCCATATTTTACCTGAATTATGTTTTCCTTGTGCTGTTGTTAACCCCTTACGCTATATCTGTCCCATTTTTTTAGTGAAATAATTGCGTCCCCAAAACGACCGTTTACAAATCAAATGGAGGGGTAAATTAGTTGGAATTTTTTAGTTATACGCTGAATTTAATCCTCTTTGGCTACGTTTTGATATTTATTAAGACTTGATTGCATTTAATATTGACAGCATTGGCTGCTTATAGTCCAAATATAGCTTATTTTGAATTAAAATATTCACAGAGTTGTATGTACGAAAGATGGAAAAATTCTAATCATGTGAGGAGCACTTAATTTCTGTGTAAATGCTAATTTAACTGGAAAAGATGGAAATGCATTCAATTATGCCAAAAAGGGAGTTTTTGTATTTTAAGGTATCGCCATCATTTCTATTCCTCCTATCTAAAAGGAATTCGCCAAATCGGAGCCAATATAAATACCCCGACTTGCGATCTATTGGTCATACAAACAAATGATAGTCTACACGCATGTTTTATTGTCGTTAAGGCGAGAGAAATCGAGTTCCAGTATGGTAAAGAATACTTGGCGTGACATTTAACTCTCTTCCTTAGATGAATAATGCTGTGCCCCTACTTTACCCTCTTCTAGTTTGCAAGGAAAACGAGAAAACTTTTCTAGCATTCCTTTGGGAGCAGAATTTAGTGAAGGTGGTGGGTATAGTTATAGCCACTATCTGGATGGGCGGTGAGATCGGTTTACTTCTGGGTGATCTCTGCCCTGTGGTGCTGACATTTAGGCAAAACGAGGCATCATACATACAGGCAGGTCAGTTTTACGGGTTGCACAAATTCCTTGGCTGCAAGTGTTCACCAGATCTTGCACTGAACATTAATTTCTACTAATGTGGCTGAAAACATGACTTTTGGGTCAACTTAACCAATTATTTGCCCCCCTATGTTTTTTTGGGTGGAAAGAATAGACATAAATATCGAAGTGCACAACGAAAAATACTTGATGAACTAAGCGTGAGGGGCCTTTCCGTTTAATTAACTTGTACTGTGCGATTCAATTATAATCTAGATGAAATACACGAATAATTCTTCCCAGCTTATCAAAAATCAACCATTACCTTGATAAACAATTCATTGGCTTTCGAGGGGAAATATTAATAATATCTGGTCTAGAAAAGACAGATGGCATTCTAGAACTCCTTGAATGAGAAAACTGTGCCTTACTAGCATTTGTCCCGGTCTTTTTCCGGTGAGGGCTCTAAAAGCGACGATGATCTTTGAATTGGTTTAGGTACACGTTGACCATTACTATTCATAGCAAAGCGAAATACTGTTGTTAATAATTGGGAACAATATTTTAATGGTGGTAAATGATGATTGGATATTACACATTTTCATTGAGAATTAAGATAGCGGATCAAAGGCTGGGGAGAATTTTTAAGCCATCGATTTTCTCAACAGTGCTCTTTTAGATTAAAAAAACAATGGATCTTATAAACGACAACTTCGGAAACGCGTGAAAAAATATAAATAAAAATAAAATAATCGCATTATGCTAAAAGAAGTTCAGTTTTTAACTTTAACTAGTCTTAGAAAGTGAAGGGAAAAAATTTAAACTCAAAGTAAATGAAGGTCATACTTAACAGGATCGAATTATTCTATTCTACTCCCTTAAAAACTTGTAGACGTAAAGGACTTTTCGGTTTCCTAGTCAGAGTTCGGACTATTTAAATCAAGGGTTGACCGCTCGTCGGCGTATCCGTGTACGATCAAAGGTGTGTGACGGCCAACAGCCTTGATTAATGTGGCAGAATGTGAACGCACTTTTCCCCTAAAACTTATCTTAACGGGTTGGGTTGCGCGATAGACTTACCTCCATGTGGTGCACCCTGGGCAGCATATTCTCATACGGCTAAAAGTCTATTATTCGGCAGTAAGCTTCTGACTTCAAACTACCGTGACCCCACCGTTTGTCATATTCGAATACTTCCGCAGTAATCACCTTACCTTTTTTCTACCTTTGTGTCTGTCTCTTTTACATCTTTGAAACGCTCCTCTGTTCCTCCCCCCTCTCGACTTTTTCCCTTCGATGTTCCTTCCCCTCTGTGAAGCCTGAAGTCAACTAAAGTGCAAATGATAACTATTAAAACGCCTGCCATTTGATATAAATAAATATTGACGAGTTTGGGAGTTAAGCATTACAACTGAGCGCTTTACTCTCCTTGCAAATGTCACTGTAATTGCATGAAATTCCTTTTTAAAAAATAACAGTAATTAAAGATCCCATTAATAAAAATTTTTGAAAGCGTTTTCACTGACTATTATTAATGTAGCTGTCTTATGAGTGAAGTTTGATGAGATTCCTCAAAATCTTGCAATTCAGTAGACATTTTGACATAGACAATGAAGTAGACTTATTTCAAGTACATGGGTACAGAAACGTTGCCAAATGATCTTCTCTTTCAGGATAAGTTCATTTTCTTTACGTTTTTAAAATGAATTCCTCTCCTTTGTAATTAAATATCCTTTATTGTCTTTACGATTGTTAAAATTGATTTTCTCACCTTTTCCAACTTTATATTACAATAAAAGTTTAGTAAAAATTGTGATTGGAAACAAATAGAAATAGGAAACCATCTAAAAGGAATTTTTCCCATTGGTGCTTATATCGAATGACCGTTCTTATATAAATTTTGAAATTTCCTCCAATTGGACTTTTGCTTTTGTTGCTTCCGCTTTATCGACAGACCAGTGTTCCGCAACTTTTTTGATACTACTCTCTCTAAAAATCTCTGTGTTATTTCATTTAATCTTTGATAAAATTAATTTTATGCATAGTTTCGTGGACGAGAAAACTAGGGTGCTCTTAGTTCATTTAAATTGCTATTAAAAGTAAATAAAACCAATGATATTACCACATTTATTCGCAAAATATTCTCATTTAATGGTCATATGCAGTCATTTTTTGTAGTGACTTTATTTCCGCATCTACTCTGTTACCGGTTTACGCGATTGGCTTATTGATCGTTATCAATTTTATTGAATTTGGCAAGTAGCTGTATGCAAAATTTGCCTCCTGGATTTCAAGCTGCATATCGATTTCCCTCATTAGTGAAAATCTGCTCTATGAGTTCTACTCCCCCCCCCTCTCCTCCCAGAGAAAGAACTTCACTTTATTGGTTTCAAGGTTGTCGCCTCCACCTCATTATCTGGCAATAAAAGGAATATTCTGCTACCGACTCCGCCTCATTTTTGTTTTAACTTGACTGAGTTGGTGAAGGTGAAAAGGACACTCGGTTACTTTGGATTCCTCTACCTTGGCATATTTATAATCCCTGAAGAAAGTATATGTCACTAATTGAAATGTTTCTCGGCCGAGTGTTTTAATCTAGAGGTTAATGCGGATATTTTAAATCTGCATAACTGTTATTTGCCGTCATGGTTGCATGATATTTCAATGAGTAGATTTAAGGCATGAACTTCTTCCAGATGAACACTTTCTTAATTTGAAAATTGACTTCGTTTGATTTAAGCTAATAGTCGCAATAATACTCTTGTACTTATGAAACACCATAGTAATTATTCAAACGGGATCGCTTTAATTTTGGCTATATAGTGGGTGATTTTTCTCCATAGGAGTTTAGATTAAAGAATTGAGATGTATTTTCACACTGTTTATACCTTCTCTTGCACATAATAGTTATCTAATAACAACTATTTACATCCATTTGTCTTATTGATTTTGTGAATGGTATAATGGCGTATCTCAACGTACCACTTGTCCTTGTTAAAGCAATCCGTTTTTTTGTCACCGTAGATAAACGAATTAAAGGAAATAAGGGGCAGAGACCAAAAGTCGGAATATTTATTTATTTCAAATGGCAGGCGTTTTAATAGCTATCATTAGCCATTTAGCTGACTTCGGACTTCACAGAGGGAAGGTTCATCAAAGTAGCAGAAAGTCGAGGGATGGGAAACAGAAGAGCGATTCACAGATGTAAAAGAGGCAGACAGACACAAAGGTAGAGAATAAAGTAAGATGGGTACTGTGAAAGGGGTCGAATATGACAAGCAGTCGGGCCATGGTAGTTTGAAGTGAGAAGTCAACTGCCGGTTAGTAGACTTTTTTGCCGTATGAGTATACGTTGCCCAGGGTGTACCACGTGGAGGTAAGCCTATCGCACGCCCCTAAAGTCGGAATATCAAGGAGTCTTTCCTCTCTTAGCTTGTAGTTTCTGGTTGAATAGTATTTACCTGTGTGAAATTTTAAACTTCCCGATTAATTTCCTGCTTTCCGGTACAAACCCTTGTTCCAGGTGTTCAGTGAGTAGCGGGCGCAATTAACTATACCTTCTCATGCTTTATCTCTACGAGCTTCCAACTAAGATTCATAAAACCTCATTTACTAACCTCTTCCCCTATTGGAGTTCAGAGAATGCTTCCATGCAAGTATTATCCTGTTAAATGGGAACATTTAAACCGGGAATATTTAGTAAAGTGAAAGCAGGAGAATAGTAGTGAGCTTCACCTTTTCACACAAATTAAATTTAATTCAAATGTGAATCATTTTGACGGTTCCCAGAATGAGTCAGAAGATTGTTGGTATTCCTAGGTAGGCACACACACACACACACACACACACACATTCAGAAATCGAGACACCTGTTAGAGTTTGGAAAGAGAAAAGTGAGAGGTAAGATGGATCCAAGAAGTTAGTTAATTATAATTTATTTATTTATTTCAAATGGCAGGCGTTTTGA